CCAGGACCAGATATTCCAAGACGTCCTTGGGCTGATCTTCGCCGCCCAGCATCAACCGTCCGAAGCGGTCGTAGATGGCCAGAGTCTGCGGGCGGACGCGGCGTCAACGCAACCGTGCCACAACGCATATCACCAGGCACCTCAAAGCCGGTCTCACCTGTCTGGAGTGCATGCGGACAGTCACCTGGCCGTAGAGGTTGCCCTTGGCGACCATGTCGGGGCTGCGGGCGTGGACCACGCGGGGCGCCTCCAGCGATTCCACCAAGCGCCAGCGCAGGGTCTTGTAGCGGTTGCCCCGCGTCATCTCCTGCCACGGACAACGGACGCACGATGGGCGACGAGTGGCGGTCGGAACGGCACCCGACGGGGGTTTGACATTTTGTCTTTACACTTGTTTTTAAATTCCGTTGACTTTAGTCTTGTCAATAAGGTGAGTTCAAGGTCCTTTTTTTTGAGCTGGCTCGTTCGACGTTATCTTTTGAAAGCGCTTTCTTTTACTTTTCTTTTGATGAGCTTTAGTCCTGCGTTGTTTTTTTGACAAATATGGCGTAATGGCGGAGTGCGAGAATTAACTCTTTCATTCCACAAGATGTACTTGTACATCTTTTTAAAATTAGGCCCCGCCTACCAAGGACGTGAGCTGGCTTGTTCGACGTTATCTTTTGAAAGCGCTTTTTTTTTTACTTTTCTTTTGATGAGCTTTAGTCCTGCTTTGTTTTTTTGACAAATATGGCGTAATAGTGGAGTGCGAGAATTAACTCTTTCATTCCACAAGACGTACTTGTACATCTTTTTAAAATTAGGCCCCGCCTACCAAGGACGTACTTGTAGAGAGGAGGGGGGGTCTGATGCAATCTGTGAATGAGAATAAGCCGTTTGCATTGTAAATCATGTAAAAAAAGCGACCAGTAGGTGGCAGTGGTGCCGCACGTGCTTGAAATGGCAAGGAATCGCCATTTTCATGAAACTTAAGCCATTTTGTAATGCAGATTGCTGAAGAATGGAAAAAGACAGAAACTAATATTTTTTTCTGCTGAAAGAAGACAGTCCAAACTTTTATTTTGGTAGGCTCCGTGCAAATATTCTGTGGGCCTTGCAAGATCAGTCAAAATCCAGTCAAACCCTGGGATTGAGGGGGTTGCTCCAGTGAAAATGTACATTTCAACTCAACGCTGAAGGCGAATGACAAAGACCGAAACAAAAGGACGTTCTCGTTTTATCAGCGTGCAATTGTGGTCGAGTCATTTTCATTTTTGTTCCGGAAAACGTTTCCATTCTTGTTCGTTTTGATGACTGATCGTAACCTGGGTAGGAGGAAAGGAGTCCCTGGAGAACTTACCGGGTAACAGCGCTCTGTCACCAGTGAGTGAAGCTTGTCTTTGTCGAAGCTGGGCGAGAGAAATCACAAAAACACATTTGAAGGTCTCATGGCATCAAAATTCACCTTTTCTCCCCACTGTGATACACATAGCACAAAATTATAAAGGCGAAAAAAAAACAAAAAACATCTTGATGCCAATATTTGCACTTTTACCGCATGCAAATCTTGGCTCCACATAAAAACAAAAAGCTACCTTAAAAAAAAAAAAAAAAACATCTTGATGCCAATATTTGCACTTTTACCGCATGCAAATCTTGGCTCCACATATCAGCGATCGGCTGGCTGGATTAAAAAAAAAATAATAATAAAAAAAATGAAATGACCAAAAATGTGTTTGGTCCATTTGTCCCAAAGCGATTGTGTGCAACAAGGAAGGAAGCGTTTCCGTCGCAATCACGTACGTGCACAACGCGTTGTGAGCCTCGATGAAGATTTCCTGGGCCCGTTCGGCAAAATCCTTGGAGGAAAACTCAGAGTCGAACTCTTTGATCTTCCGAATTCTGAGAGGATGACAAGAAAAATATGTTGTGGCTTCCAAGCTTGCAAACAATTTTTTTTTCATTTCAACGGCCGATCATAAATCCAAAACGTTAGGACCTTCCTGCACTCGTTTTTTGTTTGAGCTTAAAACAAATCTAAATTGAAAGATTTACATTTTGGTCACATAGATTTTTTTTTTATTTATTTATTTTTTTAATTGAACTTTTGCAGACATGCTGCTGGTCCTGGGAGCTCCTGTTATTTTATTTTTAAACAATGATGTCTATTCTTAAAGATTAAGAAATAAATCAATATATCTGCTATCGGCTATATATCCTTGTCTATCCACGCTGACAAAAAAAAGGGTCTCTCTCTAGTCGCGCTTGAATATAAACATTTTGTTTGGCAGCTTTACAGCAGATCCTACACTTTTTGTTCTTCTACTTTCTTCCTTTCGTAACTTTACGGCTGGAAATTGGGAATTTCTTCACTGTGACACGAATAAAGGTTTTCTTATTCTTATCACCAGACATCCATTCACAATTGAACGCATTTTAAAAGCATACCGTGTCGACATATTTATGTGTCAGTACAACATTGTCGATTTTTTTTTTTTGGAACAATCAGTTCATTTACGGCAGACCAAAAGCCGAAATGTTGACCCAAATAACTTTCGGTTCTTGGTTTTCGGCTTGCATTTGCAAGGAAATCTGCTCTTATTTTAGTAAGGGTTGTGTCAAAATATTTTCCCCGAGCAAATTTTAGGTCCCCCGGTGAAAAGTGGCAAACTCCACCTCACTGCTGCTCAGAACTACCCGTTGATTCCAACAACGCGTCCAAAAGCATATTCATGATGGCGAGACAATCTTACGCCAGCTGCGATGAGGCGCTCTGTCGCAGCTGCTCCGTGCGCTGCTTCAAGCCTTCTTTGGACAAAGAGGAAAGCCGAGCGTCGCCCTCGGGAGGGACGTAGGGGTCAAAGATTCCCGCTGGAAAATAGCATGACGAACTTTCAGAGGGGGACAAACAGTAACACCCTGCCGCTATATCGTGGTTTCACCTTACACAGCCTAGCTCAAAAGCACATTTTGAAGGAATCACACACACACACACACACACACACACACAATTTAAAAGAGTTGAAAGAGGAGTCACACAGTACCGGTGCAGGCGATGTTGATGGGCCTCTCAATGTACTGCTGCCGGAACACAACGCCAGCAGCTCTTGCCTTGGCTTCCGGGTTGACATTTTGTTTGCCCTTGACACCCACGGCCGGGGGCACGAAAAAGCGCTTCTTGGTCCTCACGGGCACTAAAAGCGGAACGGGGTGCCGTGGCACACCCTGTGACGTTTCGGAAGCCTTAGTGGGAGGATGACAGGTCATAAAATCCACTCATTCATCATTAAAAAAAAAAAACAAAACAGTTCCAACCAGTTGAATGTGTGACATTATTCTTTTTGAACTTCATGTCTATGTCAGTAACCACAAAAATGCAAATAAATATCGTAATATATTTTTAAAATGTTGTGGGGATTTTGTCAGAAAAAAAGAATAAAAAAACAGCAACATAAATTTCACACTTAAATTTTACAGAAGCTTTCTAGGGTGACCAAAAACTGGAAACACTGATTTATAGAAGAAAATAAACTGAAACAGTCCTGCCTCTGTTTAGCGTGTGAAATTAAATAGCATTAAAATAATGCAAAAACATCGGGGTAAAGCTTAGGAACGCAAAAAATAAAAAAAGCGTACATACTACAATTGTCGTTTATATTCATGTCGATAAAGTTGTCCTCCACCTGCTGAAAGTAGCCTGTGTGCCCTTGCTACCTAGCTAATGCTAACGCTACGTTAGCTTCATGCGGCAACCCTAAATCTTGTCATTGACGCGTCCATTCGATCACCAAAATGAGCCCGCCTCGCCCAGTCTGGTCTATCGTCCGGCAAAGATGTTTTATAGGTGGCATTGTCCTCTACCTTAAAGGCGCTCCATGTCGCTCGCTGTAGCACAGCCAGCGTCCTGGTAACGGGTGCCGCCATCTTGATTCCCGTTTAGCAGAAACGGGAGAAAAACTATTTCCGGAAGAGACCCGTAAACGCACCACTATTTCACGCAATCACGCGATATTAAGACAAATTACATCGGCACAATACACGTTATGTAGCAACTTGGGTTATAAAATAGCATTTAAATTAATAAATTACGGCAACGTGGGTGATGAAATAGTATTTCAATGAATAAAAGTACTGGTTCACCGGAATCTGAGACGTAACAAAACCAAAAGAGATTTGAGTCACACTTTTAACAAGAACAATACTCTTTGTGATGACTTCGCAACTTGAAATTTAAAAATTTTAAGTAATCGTACGCCCTTACTTTCGACCAGTGACACGGGTGTCACAGTTTTCACGCCCACAGCATTTTGAAGGTGCTGGCGTGAGCTGAAAAAAGGTCGAGCCTCTCTGACGTACGCGCGCGCGCGCACGTAAAAGCACGGACACTACAAAAAAAAAGTACAGGCGTCTTGTGACGTCACTGTGATCGTGGCCGCGTGCACGTGTGCAAGTAAACGCACGGACACTACAAAAAAAGCACACGCGTCTTGTGACGTCACTGTGATCGTGGCCGCGTGCACGTGTGCCGACAAAGGGTGAGCACACAAAACTGGCGTTACGTCACACATGCATCTCGCACACTCCGCCTTTTGCCCTCTTTTTCAATTAAGGGGGGGGCTCACCCGTAAGTTTTTTTTTTTTTTTGCATCACAAATCTCACCCCGTTTTAAATATATTGTAATATTTCAGGCTGCGTAACGCGGACAATAAGCAACACGACCGTGGATAACGTGAGTATGAATGATTCATTGACGCTACAACACTGTTTAAAAACTTCCGCAGGCATCATCCATCCATCCATCCATCCATTTTCTAATCTCCTTATTCTCACAGGGATCGCGGGCGTGCTGGAGCCCATCCCAGATGTCTTTGGGCAGTAGGCGGGTTGAACTGGTTGCCAGCCAATCGCAGGGCACACATAGACCAACACATAGACCAACATTCGCGCTCACACTCATACCGAGGGACAATTTAGAGTGTTCCATTAGCCTGCCACGCATGTTTTTGAAATGTGGGAGGAAAACCTGGAGAAAGCCCACGCAGGCACGAGGAGAGCATGCAAACTCCACAAAGGAAGGCCGGAATCGAACCCTGCACCTCTGTACTGCGAGGCCGACGTGCTAACCAGTCAACACTGTGCTGCCCATTTATCATTTTTATTATTATTATTAAATAGATGTATATGTCATATAACTGTATACAGTATAATAAATACTGTACATCTTTATTTTGCACTTTCACAACAGCTGCGCCGGTAACAAAGCGCTTAACAGAACATTTAACATAAAATAATAGTACAGAACACAAAACATAAAAAATCGACAATAATTCAATCATAGCTGAATGACATTCCCGGTTGACGGAGGGATGGGTATAAAAATAAAAATACATGTGTGACGGGGGTCACAACTGTGACTGTCTTGACACCGTGCGCTGTGGCGTCACTTCCGCCATAATTGAATAAACTCAATGTATCACTCGTTCCGAGTGTAAATACAAAGAATGAAGTCACTCGGTATACTGGACTTACATTGTGTGTGCGCGCGCGTGTGTGTGTGTGTGTGTGTGTGTATGTGTGTTTTTGGGGGGGGGGGGGCTCGTGCAAGTGGCCCGAGTGCGTCATCGGGCCTCGTTTTGGCAGCACGTCTAAAAATTCAGCCCAAAAAGTGCTTTCAGCTATATCTCAGAAAATTCCGTATTAAATTATTCACAGGTGTTTTCAGCACTCACCTGAAATATGTTTAGATTTCATGTGGATCCGGGGGGGAAAAAAAAACGAAAGTGACTTTCAAGTGAACTGCACTGTGCTGGATTCAATTTTGTTTCAACCATCACGGACCACCAAAAGTAGTACCAATACCAGATTCGCTGGATTTAATTTTGTCCCCCCCCCGCAGAAATGTCAGCGCATCGATGGCGATTCTGTGGAGTTCGGGAATGGCGGACGAGAGGCGGGCGTGTTGTGAGTGAGGGTGGGCGGGGTGTGTCGCGGAGGGTGGGATGGGAAGTATTCCGGCCGACGCTTCCGATTGGGACGTCGGAAATTTCGCCCGTGACGGGAGGAGACTCCTTGCGAGCCGGAGAGAGACACAGAGACAAGCTTCCGGTTGATGTCGCTCCTTCTGAGCCGCACGCTCGCGCAGTCCTCTCTGCTGGTGCAAAGACTCGGCGGCCGACGAGCGCCCGGTGTCCTCCCCGCGCGCACCAATAAAAAGTCCGACAAACTCGTTGCAGATATTCCGACGGTGAGAACGGCCGCTCAGTGTTCAGCAGCCATGGCCAAAAGGAGGCCCTTCGAGCGGCTACCCACGGATGTGTACCCCGTCAACTACGGACTCTGTCTGCAGCCCGACCTGGTCAACTTCACGTTCGGCGGCAAGCTGCGGGCGATGGTGGAGGTACGCGCGCGACGCAAACCGTGACACAACGCGCCCGCCTGCCTGCCTGCCTGCCTGCCTGCCTGCCTGCCTGCCTGCCTGCCTGCCTGCCTGTCTGTCACTCTGTCACTCACTCACTCTTGAGCTTGTTTTTTTTTTTTTTTGACCTTATGTAATATGTCAGTCACTTGGCCATTAGCTCGCGCGTCGTAGCTCGCTAAATGGAAGAAATGTGGCGACTTAAAGTGTTTTTTTTTTTTTTTCCACGAAGCCATCACGAACATTTTATGTTATTGTTCTAGCAATTGTTGCAGTTTGTGTCTGGACGCCCAATCGGTCAAGACTTGCACTCTCATGTTAGCTTAGCGGTTAGCTGTTAGCGTGCTAGCTAACAGCGCTTGTCAGTGCGTTTAATTATTGTTATTATTTTTTTATTTTGCCTCCGCGGTGAAGTCCTTTTCGTCACGGTTGCTTGACCGCTAAACACCTCCTTGCGGTAGTGGTGATAATAATAATAATAATTGGTCATAATAATTAGTCGTAGTCGGTCAGTGAGTATAGTTGCGAGGTGGCTTGTGTTTGGTAAGGCCCGATACACACGTACGTACGTACGTAGATACGTACATAAACACACACGCGCGCACACACAAATATTTTTCATATCTTAAGAGGGTGTTTATCTGCGACAGACCCCCTCCCCCCCACACACACAAGATAAAAAAAGAAAACCAAAAAACTACGTTTAACATTTTTTTGTTGTGTGTGTGTGTGTGTGTGTGTGTGTGTGTGTGTGTGTGTGTGTGTGTGTGTCCGTCCAGTGTGTCCGCTGCACACTGACTCACAAGTGCATGATGATTAATATGCGATGTTGTGTATGAAGTGCTGCCTACACCAGGGAAAATGGAATCCATGGGACTTTTATTTTTTTTTTAAAGATGAGCTTCTCCCTTGGTTGTCCTGGTAACCAAAAGCAGCATATGGGTCATAATGGAGACGATGCGACTGCCAGATTCATTTCAGCGAGACAAACAAATTGCGTGCGAAGTGTCGGGTGATTCTTGCGCTTCGGGGTGCACGCCGCAGATGTGTTCTCAGCCCAGTAGCGATCGATACTCGCTCGTCCGTCCCCGAAAGCCGCTCCCGTCTTTTGGGCTCAAAACGTACAGCAGAGAATGTCCTCGCAGTGAACAAGATTTTATTTGCCATGATTGATTGATTGGCAAATGCTGACACGGCATCCCATCACGGATTTTTCGTAAGCTGCAAAATACCGGCCGATTGGATCGGTCGAAGTCAAACGCGGCTGTTTGAATGCACGACATTCAAAGAAATCCCCTTTTGAGTCAAACGCTGACTCTTTTTTTTTAAAGAGTCGTACGAGTGCGAACTTGGGATCTTTTTGTGTCTCGCACGTGCAGGTGACGCAAGCCACCAATCAGATTGTGATGAACTGCGCCGACATCGACATCATCACAGCCTCCTTCGCGCCTCAGGGAGGAGACGGTGAGTCCGATTTGTACAGCGCCCCCCGTCCTCCCAGCGTCCCGGTTGATCACATGACGCCATCGCTCTTGTTTTGAATGTATTGTTCTCAGAAATTGACGCCACGGGATTCAACTATCAAAACGAGGACGAGAAGGTGACCTTGTCCTTTCCTTGCGCTCTGAAGAAAGGTGAGAAGGACAAGAGCGCCAAAAGGATGCTCGTTTGACAAAAGTCGGTAACTCCCGATGGCCGGGGGCTCTGCAGCATTTAAGGTTGCGTCCGAATAGGGAAGTTAATATTTCAGAAGGCAAAATGGAGGGGGGGGGGGCTATATTCAAAACCCCAAATTTGAAGGCCCAACCTTTGTGACCAAATGTACAGAGTAAAAATGTCAATGGCGTTTGAATACCCTTCGACCTGTCACTCGTGTCACTTTTCACATCCCGCAAGGTTCTGGTGTGCTGAAGATCAAGTTTGCGGGCGAGCTGAATGACAAAATGAAAGGTTTCTACAGAAGTAAATACACCAACACCGCGGGAGAGACCTGCTACGCTGCCGTCACACAATTCGAGGTGAGCTGGCGATGCGGGACGGTGACACCAGATGCCGGATAGACGTGACGTCCAGTGCCTGCAGGAGCTCAGCAACCTAATTTTGCAGCCATTGACTTTCTGACGTTGAACTCATCTGCGCTCTCTTTCTTGTTTGTCTGCCCCCCCCCCCCACCC